AATCTGAAACGTTCAGTAAATTTTCGGGTCTGTCATTGAAAAAATACGAAAAAGTCACGTAATTTTTCTCAAAGTTGTAAAATCTAACAGAAACTTCCAGACTTATTATGCCTCAGAACATGAAAATTCTTGAATGTTTAAGAAATTTTACGAAAAGTTCCGGAAAAATTACGGAACGTGTTGTTAAAATCTCCCCCTCACGGTGACACAATAAGTCGACAAGGAGTCACAATAAGTCGACAAGTTTCTGTAAGATTTTACTTCTTCGGGAAAAATTACGTGACAAATTCGTACTTTGTTTGGTGATGAACCTAAAAATTCACTGAACGTTTCAGATTTCGTCTCTTCCATTCCTATAAAAATTGCCGGAAAACGATTCCCCATTGCGGATTACGTGAATTGTTCCGTAAGTTTTACTGAATATTTCTCTCCGTGTGGCTTTCGCCGTCTCCTATTGATTCTCGATGGAAATTTCCATCCCTTTGCAATAAAAAAAATCCTGAATTTTCAACAGAAGTTTTCATCGCTTCCCACGCATACGTGAAAGAACATATTGATTCCAGTCAACGTAAATAATAACCTGATGAGTCATATAAAATCTACCAAACTGTCAGGCGCCTTCGATCTCGTCTGCTAAAACTAAAGAGTACCACTAGCAGTAGTCAGTGCCATCGCTGGGATTTTCCACTGAAAACGTGACATAAAAAGTCCATTACCTTTATTTTGTCACTTCATATGGAATCGTGCAAATGGAATATTTCTTTATTTTTCTTTCAGTTTTTATGATCACGTAAATCCGTAGGTTTTGCGCATACGCGGGAAACCCGACACTCGAGATTGCTTCTTTTTCACGTTGCAAGGATAACGTTCTAATTCACTTTCCATTCACGTGATCCCCATATACTTAATCCTACGAGAGGTTTTCCATGAGCATGAATGGCCGGGGAAGCTTTGGAGAGAGTTTTTTCCCCCGGCTCGGGGACAGCAACAAAAAAGAAAGAGAATAACGAATAAAAGGAAAAGAAAGAGGAGTGAGGACAAGAAACGCAGTGAGTGTTGGCGGGGGTGAGGCATACACGCGTTGTGAATATCGAATCTTTCCCGAATCGGATAGCGATAAACGACACGATTGAAAGTCCTTGGGTTCCGCGAGGGACTCCACAGCTCGTTTCAGCACTGAGTATTCTCCATGGATGCCTGAAATGGCGGGGATATCGATAAGCTATTCGTATTTCTATCGGGAGCCGTCGTGGCAGCCAATGATAATACCAAGTTAGGTGACGCTTGCAATAGAGGAAATGGCCATTGTCACAGGCATGGGGCTGACGCTGTTCAAAACATGAACAAAAGGTGGCTAGAACAACGTATCACTATTTTTATCGTCCACACTCCACGCTGGTATCGTGAAAATCTTTCCTTACGTGCGGCTAACACCTCAGAATCCGACATTGAGTGAGGAGAAGACGAAAGCTGATAGCGGCATTTTTTTACAATCTATAATACTATTCATAATTTCGTCACATTCACCTTGGGCAATAGGGAACTTGCATGATTTTTTTTCAATTGTCCAATATCACGTTTGGGATCTGAATAATTCATTTTTCATTCACAAATGTGTGAAATATTGCTCATTAATTAATAATTAGTTGTTAAGAGTTGAAGGTTTCAATCGCTTTGAAATCGCCAATGACGTCACACAGACGGTCGAGCGCTGGACCAATCACAGAATGGCTCGAGCTGACCTAACCCAATCTTGAGGTGCGCCTCGGCCAATGGAGGACGACAACTCCCCACTCTCTTATTTTTCGACCAATGAAGCGTTACCTGAGCGTCTTCGTGACGTCATGGCCGAAAAATTACCCTCGAAAATCACTGATTTTCAGTGGATTATCATACGACATCTAGGCAATATTTCTCCATAATTTTCGCCGTTTAGGTATCCATATGTTACGAGAAATGAGTGAATAGGGGAATTAGAAAGAATTGAGCTTCATGGAAGTTCCCTATTCCTGAGATTTTTCAACGTTGGGTAAATAATCGTAGAAACTATGCTGCAGGGGTGAAGGAAAGGGTTCGCCGGAATCCTTCTAGATGGGGCGTAGAGTATTTGTCGACTACCCCCGCACCGAGTGGAGGGTTCTGCCCATTCGTTTTTCTCCCTCTCCACTAGGCTGTAATTTTCCATCATTTCCTATTGCCATAGCAATCGATAAAGAAGTTCCTGAAATACAGGATGTTTTTATTCGTCACTTGGGACAACGTACGTTCAGATTTTTGTAATGAGGCTCGTTTGGGAAACAATTAAAACACTATTCACTTTTACGGCTCTTCGGGTTTACAGGGTACAATTACACAACACCAGGCCGTCAAAGTGATCGTTTTCACGTCGTTATGTATATTTACAGAGCTCATTTTGTTTTTTTTTATGCGTGATAAAATCGAGGAAAACAGATATTTTTGAGGGTATTGAGAGGTGAGATATTCATGAAATTTGAAGATTGTCAACAAATGTTGCAGGGCGTAAATGTGATTGAAGATAAGAAAAACAAACGTAGCAGGCATTTTCGAGCTTTTACCTTATAAACTCGCACGTATGATTTTCCGTTGTGTGCTCACCTCAACGTTTTTCCACATGCAGACTGCGTTGTGTTCAGGGTGAGTTATTCTTTCGGTTCGTTGTCTCACCATTGTGCTATCTAGACGTGAAGATGCCCCTCGTGCTTGTCTCTTCACATTGAATGCGGAAAGGAGCGCTCGCCAAGTTATGGGATGAGACATCGCAAAATGCCATTTACTCATCTGGAATATGAATAAGAAAATTCGGAGGGAGATTTAACAGCACTGAATGCTTCTAACGAGGAATGTTTTTGCAAGTAGAAATTGAAGGGTGTTTATCCAAGATCGGAAGTACTTCCAAAAATTGATTTTTTTCAACCGAAAGATGAAGATATTCCCTTCACTTTGACACAAATTTCAATCCACTAACCCATGTTTATTATTTAGAAATGAAATAGATAAAATGCACCAAATGCATGCGCTAACGGGCGCTTATATGGGACAGAATGATTCAAATATTTCCTCTTTTTGCCCGGGTAGCCCAGATTTTTCTCTGGCCATTGGAGTCAGTATGATTTTACAGATTACCTTCTATTTTTATTTCTATTTTTAGAGTCTTCTAGTAGGTGAATTATCAATTTGAATATGAATTTCATAAGAGCCCGTGTAACAGGAAAAATTAGTTTGTTCATTTCTGCCGAGACTATTGCGATTAATTTTTTTAAGGAAGTTTATCCAAAATTAGAAGTACTTAAAAAAATTGATTTTTTCTCAACTGAAAGACGAAGATATTCCCTTCACTTTGATACAAATTTCAATCCACCGACCCATGCTCATTATTTATAAATGAAATAGACAAAATGCACCAAATGCATGTGCTAACGTGCGCTTATATGGGACAGAATTATTCAAATATTTCCTCTTTTTGCCCGGGTAACCTAGATTTTTCTCTGGCCATTGGATTCAGTATGATTTTACACATTACCTTCTATTTTTATTTCTAACTTTTAGAAAAGTTAGTTTTATATGTTCTGCTGTCAACCGAAAAAATTCCAGAATTTTCTTTGACCAAAAAAACACATTTACCGACAATTTATCGACACTGACTTAACAACCTTAAAATATTGTTCAAGTCCATTCAGCGGCAACTTGACACATTTAGTTCAATCCCATTACCCACCGACAAATTCGACTCCCGGTGAAAAAGTGATGGTTCTGATAATGTCATTTGAACTCTTCAAGAATTTTTCTCGCCAGATAAAATGTGGAGAAGAGGCATCTTCTGTTATGAATATTAAGGAGAACGGAAAATATGAACTTCCTTCAAGCGGAAAGTTGGATCACTTTAATTTTCCGCTAGCCCCCAAATGCCAAGAAGCTGCATTAATGCGACGAAAAATTTTCGTGAATGATCATTGACTCGTCTGTCATGGCGCGTGATCCAGGAAATTCTTCATTATCCCCTCGAAGATCAATCATAATTGAGGCGCAAATGAATTCCGAGATGAGCGTTGAAAAATTTAATGGGCTTAATTCAATTATTGAGATGTTGGAGCGAAAGTGGATTACACAATTCAATTATGATAGCTCCGTCCATCACTGGGATTTATTGAAAGTCGGATTATAAAAGATAGATTCCACATATGAGTGAACATAATGAAATATGATCATTTTACTCGGAGAACTCAGAGCTCCATGAACGTAAGAGGTGCTTGATAGTATCTCGTGTGGAGACGTAGCAGCTGTGTCTGTGGTTGAGGAGCTGAAACCGTGGAGTAATCCGATTTTCCGACTGATTCGATTTTCAATTTTCTCTTCGGCTCCCCTATAACGCCAAAAGTTCACCTCCAACTCCTTCATTTACATTTCCACACGAAAAAAAATCCACGGATCAGGTGTATTTTATTCTCAAAATTCATTGAATATCAAATATAAAATAGCAAATCTAAAATTCTCTCCACATCCGTTTTTTATTGCGTAACATCTACATCCATAACACAAGTATCACCATAAATTATTAAATAATTGTCCCCAAAAATAACCACTTCACACACGGAAAGAAAAATTCAATAAAAATTACCAGAAAAAAAAACGTAAATTTGCGTTTCGAAACGTGATCCGCAAGGGAAGTAAAATTCAATAAAAAGTGTGAATTGGAACTGAAATTGTACGAATTGCCACGTAAATTCTACGATTTGTTCTGTAAAAATTCGTCTGATGACTCACCGCTGTGGGGTCAACAAGTCATTCCGTAATTTTTCCCCAACAATTGAGAAATTTTACGGAACGAAACGTAGAAATAACTCACCAACTTCATAAAAATTGTTGAACGTTCAAGAATTGTTGATTTTGGAGGCACAATAAGTCGGCAAGTTTCTTCCATTCCAATAAAAATTGGCGGAAAACGATTCCCCATTACGGATTACGTAAATTGTTCCATAATTTTCACTGAATATTTCTCTCCGTGCACTCATCCCAAGAAAAACAATTTCTTACACTAATTCGATGTACGTTCAGGGCCCAACTATTGCTCCGAGTATTTCAATCTTCAGATAACCTAGTTAAAGAGTCTATCACCAGTGCTTATAACCATTTCCGGCTGGGGAATTGCTCGGTTCCCGTTCAGTTTCAGCACCGCCCGTTCCGCACATCGATTGAGGCAAATATTGATTACCCAATCCAAACACATTTCCAAATATTTCGATTACAACACCGTATGCATAAACTCAAATTGCACAGAAGGCACTCAGAGATGCCCCAATTACATTCTAATCAGTCCAAATGATGGTCTCAATCAGTCTTTCAGAATTATAATTAGCACATGGCATCGCCATTCAGCGGTTTGTGCGCATCACATTTCTTATCCTTCGGATCATGTCGATCCCTCAGGCAATCCTCCGCCTCTCTCTCCGCGCTATTCTTTATGCATCCAATTGTCTTCAATATTCTCTTTTTGGGAAGAATAATGTACAGCATTAAAATTGGCTGAATAACTCGGAAAAACTTGAGAATCCACAGACTCGGGTAAATAGCAGACAGAGCACCTGTTAACCATGGGGCATCCATGATGATGTACAATTTCAAATACACAAAATACTCTTTCTTCGCATTTCTCACATTATTCTGATTCAATATCCTGTTATCCTTCTTCACTTTTACCATCCTATAACTCGTATATACAAAAAGAATAGTATTCGTCAAAAGAGTCAGAACCGGTACAGTAAGTGAGTAGATGAGTAAGGATTTATTCGGAGGTCCGTGGAAATTCGAAAAATTCGCTCTCACCGGCGAATCTTTCGGCAGTGACGGCGCGAATTCAGTTGTCACAACGATGACAGCGGGTACGACCGACAATCCCCAATTTAGCATTGAGTAGACCTTGAATTTTCGGTTTTCACTTCGAGTTTTTGAGTCGCTGGACGGCGCCCACCGGAACCGAGTGATGACGAGAGTCATATCGAAACAGAGAATGAACAGCCACAAGCAGGAGGCCTGAATGAAGTACACGATCACTGATCCGCATATTCCGTACACAAAATCCGGCAACTCTCTGTGACAGAGTTCGAAAAATCCCATTGTAATGAGCATCAGGTTGAGAATAGCGTACGACGAATTGTAGCATATCAGGGACTTATCGAATGCCCTCTTCCGGAGATCGGCGTACGAGCAGTAGACAATAACTACTAGTAGATAGGGCAGGGTGTAGATCATCGTGGCGGATACCACGATCGTCGCCCCCCAGAAGTTCAGCAATTTAAATGGGCTATCGCAGTGGCCATGTGTCTGATTGCTCAGCATCTTATCGCAGGATAAGGTGACAACTGTTCCGTTTACCAGCACCCCCCTGCAGGCTAGGCCAGTGCCATTGGCTTCTGTAGGTGTGTTGTCGTGGATTCCTGCAGAGAAATTTTCTTCATTGATATTTTGCCTACAGAAATATTAATACCACTGTTCTGAGCTAAATGGCATCTTCCGTGTGATGATTCGCTATACAGAAGACACGGAGAGAAATATTCAATAAAAATTACGTATCTTCTCCGTAATTCCGGAGCGAAATGTGGTTGTAGGAAATTTTACGGAACTGTCACGGAATTTTTCCAGAGCGTTCCGTTATTTTTATCTGAATCTCCTGTGAAAAATTACGATACCGTCACTTAAATTTTCTGAGTCGATTTCGTAATCGATGAGCGAACTGTGAGTTCCGTAATTTTTACTGAACATTTCTCTCCGTGGAGTGGAGATGGAAACTAATTAATTCCAAACGGACTGTCCTTGGAGGAGCCGGGACTAGGTATGTCAGATGACGAAATGTTTGCATCTGAGTTATTACAGTAGCGAAACGATCAATCAGTTTGAGTCAGTTTTATTATTGGATCTGGTTTTTGAAATTTGAAGGAGATGCAGGCAAGAATTACAACAAATAGTTGTCATAATTCAACAAATGGGTCTAGCTGTTGAAAAAAACTTTTGATTTTCACATAGCAAAAATTAATGTCTGAATTTCAGACTAACAGGCGCCCAAACGTCTTAATTCATGTTTGAAATTGAGACAAATTTTCATTTTATTCAGATGTTTTTTAGTGTTTGACAAATGTCTGCAAAAGGTGTGTTCAGACATTGGTTTTTGCTGAGCGGGGACATGTCACCACTGAATTTCCGAATCTTGCACTCATTGAATTTCGCAGTGACCTGCGCCTGAAAATCAAAGCGTTTTTTTCTGTCAATTTATGGATATTGTAACGGAATCAAACGTTTGTTTATTGATCTTCCCTCTTCCTGATATATTCCTGTGTGTGTGTTTTTCGTGATTCGATTGATAAAAAATATCATTCTAAAGTCTGCCCGGAGATATTAATCATCACGTGCAGTAAAATAAAGAAACTAAATCCGCCCCGTTCCTTAATTTATCGCCTGATCATTACAATATAGTAAGAATCCTAAACTTACCATTGGGGCATTCTTCCAAAACTTCACTTGTGCCATTGCCGAACGCTGACAACGCCTCAGCCGCATTATCGTGAATTTTTCCGCAATCAAGATTATCGTCAAGAACGAATCCATCACTGCAGCACTTGAAGAACCTGGCGTTTGCGCCCCCAAACCTCAAACCGAACAGAAAACTCACGAGGATGACGATCACCCCTCGTCTTCCTAGCCGGCACATCCTCCTTCGCACTTCACCAATTAGGATTGACTACGACTGATGCGCAACACTCTTCCCAACACCGAACATCCGTTGGACTTTCGATGTGTAACTTCCTCGGGAAGGCCTACCGCAACTCTACACTCCATCGCTGGACGCAACTCGAGTGTTGAGTCACACAAGTTCCGACTATTGGCACTCACGTGACTTTCCATGAATGTGTATTGTATATAGGCAGGTACTTTGCATTCCCCAACCCGCGAATATGCACGGAGAGAGGAGGAGAGCGCGAGAGGAAAAATCATATAATTCACGGGCTTTGTTCGCGGTGTGTGGCTAATCCCGGCCATCCTCCGAGTGGATTATTTCAATGACCGTGAAGTTTAATAAGGCTTAAATAAATCGCTTACCGCAAAATATTGAATATGATCAATCAGTCTAATCATTACTCGTAACGCGCATCGCAGCACTGTGGGTAATTAGTCAAGTGTGTCAACTAAATTATCATCCAACGGTGCAGCCTCGTCGGAATGTCTATATTTGGCGAATAGATGACTTGGAATAAAGAATTCTTGATGAGTACGTGCATTTGGAAAATACTGGGAAGAGTGGTGTTACAAAAATACATTGTTACGCAATTTCACAGTGGAATAAGAATTTCACATTGAGGAAGGATTGCACAAAGGCATGAAGTGACTTCTGATAATATTGCAAATGCGAGGGGAATACGAACAGAGTTATGTATCACCCTTAAGGGGTAATCAATCGTACACGGAGAAAATTATTTGGTGAACTTCAACAACTAGTTGGAGGAATTTAACAACTATTTAGCTAAAATTCAGAAAAGATTTTTCAATTTCACTCGACAACCATTTGCTAAATTTTCAATGAACGTTCATCGATTTATTTGACGGATTTAGCAAGAATTGTAGATTATTGGGAAAATATTTTCTGCGGGAGATGAATGATTGTGGAACTGTTTCCAAAAGTATTTATGCCCTCACTATCTACACTGGTGGAAATTCCTTGAAATTTAAATGTTGCGAGTTTGAATTCAATTTCATATGAAAACGTTCACTAAATGTCTCATTCATCTTCAAAATTCAAGACAATTGGGTTTTTCATGTTAAAGAGTCATTGACTTTTCAATGAAAGCCTGAATTTTCAAGCTCAGCGTGCAAATTGAACATCGCATACAATTCAATTTTCAATAGATTGAAAATTCAGAGAAGTTATTGCCTGAATTTTCAAAATTTTCAAAGTTTTTCAGAGCCGTATCAACCTGAAAATCGAGAATTACGTGAATATTCAAGAAATTAACTGATTTGCCAATGAAGAATTCTACGGAAATTTCATGTAACTTTGCCATTATTAAATAAATTCAAGCTTTTTCACGGGAAATTTCAAGAGTAATTATCTAAAAGTGTAGTTTGGACGTCAATTGATTGAATGAAATTAAAAAAGATTTTCTGAATTACAATTAATCAGTTGTTAAATTTCACCAACTAATTACTGAAATTCCCCAAATAATTTTCTCCATATACATACGTGACTAATACCTTTCATCATAAATACACAGAGTAGGTTCATAAATAAAAACTTAACCGCCTCGATCAGCAGCGAATGGTCTCACGATGGGCAATTAAAAATCGCCGTGAATTAACCGGTAAAACTGAATAGAAAAAAAAAATAACGAGTTAATATACATGTATTCCCCTGATTATGATGCTCTATGCAGAGTGGGCACGCGTGACCAATGAAATGTCGTACATAACACTCCGAGGAATAAGGAAGAGCGGCGTTGAAAAATGATGCACGGTCGCGGTCACGGTTAGTCAACTGCAGTAGTACTTATCGCATGGATCATCCGTCAACATGTACACGTCGGGGTCAGTCCTGGGGAGGTTTTCCATATTTATTATTCTGCACCATCTATTCATATCGAGCACCAGCGCCGATCCTGTCCAATGGAGGGGAGTCCCACAAAAGTGTTGTCAATTGAACAGTCTCTTCAACGAGCATCTCACGTGTGTGAATCGGATAATAATCAATGACTCTGGTGTTGTGTTGGAGAAGCCGGTCGAACGGGCCTTTCAGTGTCTAAATAATGAGTCATTGGTGCTGCATAAAGAATACAGAATAGGATATACAGGTTACCTGACGTTCAGCGAAGGGAATGATTCCTGCATTGAAGATACATCCGACGGGAAAACGATAATAGCCAAATGTGCCAATCAGCCTTCAGCAATTCTTGGTTTGGGCTCCGTGATATTTTGGGGCGCTCAGACGTACATGTCCACAAATCTCGCCCACATGATCTTGTGCATTGTCGTCGTGCTCGTCTACCTGTCCGTTCCAGAACTGGGACGAGGCCTGTACAACCGTGCGGTTGTCCGACACAACATTTGCCTCCTGATGCAAGGGGTTGTGCTGCAGCTTCTGGGTTATTGTGAGCTCAAAAATTGCTGGATTAACCATCACATCATGATCTTTCTCTGGCTCACTCTCCAGTACTTCACCATTGCAACTGTGTTCTGGCTCAACGGAATATGCTTTGACATGACACTGGCAATAACCAAGTTTCGATGGATAGCTCAAAATGCACATAAAAGTAGTGAAGTTGAATCACGCAAATTGCTCATGTACGGTATTTTTGCCTGGGGCGGACCATTATTACCGACTCTACTCGCTGCTCTTTGTGACTATATTCCTCAAGTGCCCCGGCACTTCGTCTTGAAGCCCAATTACTTAAATTACAGAAATGGACCGAGTGCAGTTGTCAATCTCTACTTTTTTCTTCTACCAGCGTTCGTTCTTCTTTTGAATAATATTCTGTTTGTGTTCACGACCCATAGGATCGTTAGGATACAGCGGAGCACTGAAATAGCGACGCGTAATCAAAAGAATATATTGACGAAGAAATATTATTTGTTCCTGAGACTTTATCTCCTCATGGGGGCGCCATGGTTTTTCGGTATGGTATTGGCCTGCCTCAACATTCTCATCGTATTGAAAATATGCAGGATGATTCAACCGATTCTATGGTTACTGATGCTAACTACACACAAGGCTATACTGAAACGAGTTAAACAAGTTGTTGAGAAATGTAAACACCGGAGGAAAGAAGAAAATTCTTCTGCTCCTCCGTCTACTGTAAGTTCAAATGATTGATTAAAAATAGATTCACCTTTTTTATTTATGCTCGTAGCAGTTAGAATTATCGTTAATTCACATCCGAATGAGTCTCCTCACGTTTATAATTTAATTGTTTTCCCTGAGTTACGTAATAATGTAAATTATTATTCTGAAACTTTTTGAAAAGTTAGAATGAATGGGGAGAGAGGGGAACTCCAACGGAGTGAAAATTGACAACAAATTTACGACTTTTGTACGACTGACCACTACAATACATCTGTATTCACGTGTTATTTACTATTCTCTTTGTGTCAAGTTGGGAGTCACCATGATTTCATTCTCGCGCGCTGGAATTCCCAACGCACTCTCGTGGAAAATTACGAGAATAAACATTTCCTTGTCACCACACATGATATTATTTTTTACCCATTCATAGCGGAACATGGGATGATGAAAATGTTGTTCGTTTGTAATTCATTTGCCCAAGCAAATCGGGAAATGAAAGATAAAGGGAATTTTGGAGAATAAATGATGCTTCGTTGTGAATTTTTCTATTCATATTTTTCCCGGTGCCTGCACATTTAATTATCCACATCTATTAATCCCGCGCAATTGGTCAATACCTGATTGATCACTCCCGTGGTCATTGGCTTGCTCGTTCAATCAATCAAAGGATAAGCGGATTAATCTGGTTACCAGTTCCACAACCACAAACAAGGATTATGGACTTTGATTTGATCGAAGAGTTTTCTAGGACTCGGGTGTACGATGGGTTTATTGCGTGTGTGTATTATTGATTGAAGTTTAACGTCATATCTGTACGGTTGAAAATTTTTGTCTCAAATTTTCGAATTAAATCTCACAATTTTAATGAGAAGAAATTGATCTCTCAATTTTTTTTCTTGGCAATAATGCGTTATTCACTATACATGAGCCTCTTCGGAGGTTTATTTGCAACAGAAATAAAGTTTGCAGTTTTTTCTGATTGTTCCATCGTGCCCCTCGTGTCAATGAACTTGATTATTGCTTTCTGTATTAATCTTTGGTGAATAGAAATTCATCTCTAACAACATGACTCTGAGGAATTAAAAAAAATGTCAGTGAGGACAGTCACAGAATACAATGCCAAGGTACACGGAGAGAAATATTCAGTAAAAATTACGGAACAATTCACGTAATCCGCAATGGGAAATCGTTTTCCGGCAATTTTTATAGGAATGGAAGAGAAGAAGTACGAAATTGTCACGTAATTTTTCCCGAAGAAGTAAAATCTGACAGAAACTTTCCGACTTATTGTGCCTTCAAAATCAAAGATTCTTGAACGTTCAACAATTTTTATGAAGCTGGTGAGTTATTTCTACGTTCCGTTCCGTAAAATATCTCAATCGTTGGGGAAAAATTACGGAACGACTTGTTGTTCCCACAGCGGTGAATCATCAGACGAGTGGTTAATTTTTACGGAACAAATTGTAGAATTTACGTGGCGATTCGTTCAATTTCAGTTCCGACTCACACTTTTTATTGAATTTTACTTCGCTCGCGCATGACGTTTCGAAACGTAATTGTTACGATTATTTTCTGGTAATTTTTATTGAAATTTTCTCTCCGTGTAAGTAATCTTCATATTTTTAGGTAATGAATTCTTGGTTTTTAGTGAATATTCATAAATCGCTTATGCTAGAGATCATTGCAGTCATAAAAATAGGCTTACAATCGCAAACTCACGCATTATCATGAGCAGACGGATGTGGTGCGCCACTCGTAAGAAATACGTTCTAACGAACTTGATTGCATTCCTCTGAATAGTAAAATTATAAAATTCATAGAATTCATCGTGACTCAGGCTTAAAAAAATCGGTGCATTGACCACACGATGACATCTGCCTTATTCCTCCGAAGAACTTCACACCACCCCTATCGTATTTCTTATCTCATCAAGTAGTTTTTATCAGAATTATCTCAACATTCGTGAAAAAACTTCATGACCCTGTTGGCATTTTACAAGCTGTTAACATTAAACTGACGATATTATTTTTCACGAAAAGTTTTTCCTTGACTTGTAATAAGGTGCTGCAGTTATCTAGTTTATGTAAATCAGGCAATTCTACGCAGGAACGCCCATAGAGTGGTATGAGACGATTTAAGGTTTCCAGGTATTATATGTGCATCATAAAACAAACGTGTTTTCTTATTAGACCAGTATTAAAGTTTTCATTGCCCAACAAACATGACCCCGGAAATAACGAACAACGAGTAGTTGGAAAATATTTGATATAAAAATATGGAGCGTGAGGTGGTGGTCCCGATTTGTCGAGCAAGCACTTGGTGAAGCTCACGAGAAGCATTTTAATAAACACGAGAATGTTGGCTCCGCATTCCGTGGTATTTCCGCGGACAAAGTATTCAAGATTCTTGAATACCAGTGTGAATGAATATGCAAGCAAATGCAGAGCGCACTCGGTTCGGGGTGGAAGTTCTCTCAAGTAAAGGCCATTGAATGTGGAACAAAAGAGTTGGCTATGGGTCAAACTCATCAGCGAGTGAGGAAGCTGGGATATGTCAGTTGTAGTGATTCTATCAATTCTACGTATTGCAGAGAGAACAAACCTTTTGATTTTCAGGGGCACGGAGAGAAAAATTCAATAGAAATTGCCAGAAAAAAAACGTAAAAATTACGTTTTGAAACGGAATCCGCGAGCGAAGTAAAATTCAATAAAAAGTGTGAGTCGGAACTGAAATTGTACGAATCGCCACGTGAATTCTACGATTTGTTCCGTAAAAATTAACCACCCGTCTGATGACTCACCGCTGTGGGGACAACAAGTCGTTCCGTAATTTTTCCCCAACGATTGAGAAATTTTTCGGAACGGAATGTAGAAATAACTCACCAGCTTCATAAAAATTGTTGAACGTTCAAGAATTTTTGATTTTGGAGGGACAATAAGTCGGCAAGTTTCTGTAAGATTTTACTTCTTCGGAAAAAATTATGTGACAATTTCGTACTTTGTCCGGTGATGAATCTGAAAATTCCCTGAACGTTTCAGATTTCTACTCTTCCTTTCCTATAAAAATTGCCAGAAAACGATTCCCTATCGCGGATTACGTGAATTGTTCCGTAATTTTTACTGAATATCGCATATCACCAATTATTGGTGATACTGGACATTGCTTAGAATCGCAGTATTTCATCATCAGTTATGTTTATCGCTGAAAATTGGTAATAAGCTCCCAAAAATTAGAGATGGACCCATGAGAATCAGTGACATTGTAAAACATTGAAAAATATGCCAACGTTACAAATAATAAAATCCTTCATCAAAAATTATTCACGTCTCCCTTGAATATTTTATTAAGGGTATTAAAAGTTGATTGAAATATTTTGTGGATGAAGACCTATCCAACATCATCTCTTTTATCACAAAAAAATGGATTAAAATACTAGATCAGTGCCATAAGCACACCGTGATATTGATAATTGTTGGTTTCAAATAATTGCAATGGTCCCTTATAAATCTGAACAATAACGCTCTGTTGGCAATTAATTTTTTCATGATTACATGACAAATAGTGAAAACATTGCAACTACCAGAGTAGGCTTTTTACCTAATGGATGAAACTCGTTTACCCAGCGATACCTGAGCACCAGCCCGTCGGTTGTGCACTCTAATTAAATTCCTTTTGCCTCTTGCGATACGACCCTTCGCGACATTTTAGGTGGAATTCCCATTTATAATGAGTGGTAGCAGAGGCAACTTTCAGCGAGGCATGCAATATAAGTACAACTTCAAGTGTTATAAATCAAAGAATAGTCTCTTCTGAAGGAATTATTACCCCAATCGATGTCGAAAGAAAAATCATTGTTCCTATTTTCCAACCAGGGGAGTAGTGATGCCGCGAGACATTTTACGAGACAAAACTTTACGAGACAAATCTTTGCTCTCGTCCCAGTCTCGAAATACACTCTAGCGACTCCTCTCGAGATGATTCCGAGTCCATTTATCTCATTTCGGTCTCAAGTTTTTCGTGATTTTTAATGTAAAATTTCAGTTTTTGTCTCGGTTTGTCTCACTGACAATGAGACCGAGACAATCCCGCCAAAGTATTGTCTCGTGATGTCTCGTGAAATGTCTCGCGACAGCACTACAGGGAAGACCCCTAGACTCCACTGGACAATGTTATCACAATTGTTTTTGGAGGGCCGAAGTAGAGCAGACCTGTGAGGCAATTTCCCGATGGGAGAGTAAAGGGAGCTCCAATATAAGTACAATTTCAAGTGTTATAAATCAAAGAATAGTCTCTTCTGAAGGAATTATTACCCCAATCGATGTCGAAAGAAAAATCATTGTTCCTATTTTCCAACCAGGGGAGTAGTGATGCCGCGAGACATTTTACGAGACAAAACTTTACGAGACAAATCTTTGCTCTCGTCCCAGTCTCGAAATACACCCTAGCGACTCCTCTCGAGATGATTCCGAGTCCATTTATCTCATTTCGGTCTCAAGTTTATCGTGATTTTTAATGTAAACTTTCAGTTTTTGTCTCGGTTTGTCTCACTGACAATGAGACCGAGACAATCCCGCCAAAGTATTGTCTCGTGATGTCTCGTGAAATGTCTCGCAGACTCCACTGGACAATGTTATCACAATTTTTGTGGAGGGTCGAGCCACAGCAGACCTGTGCGGCAATTACCCGATGCAGAGAAAAGGGAGCTATTGGATCCAATACAGGTGCAACGTGGGCGGTAGATATACATAGACCCAGAGCTGTGGTTTCGCATTATGATTTAATTACAATTTATGGAGCTGGTGTTTCACGCGTTCCGGCACGTACTGTGATTCGGCATTACACTCTACCACGTGTGATACTGCAGCCACTGGAGTCTATGTCATACCGCACTTCAAATTCCTGTTTTCCCTGTCGTGCACTTTAGTAACATTGGGTTTTTGTCACCCACGTCGGAAAGCCATGAATGATACTGTGGGTTTTACACCGCCAGTATTAATTTTACGATCGTAAATTATGGTTTATTATTTCATCAGGGATTTTTTTGTCCACTCTTTCGGCTTGTCCCAGCAATGCCGCATGTTATTTTGACTTAATGCATAACCATAAATTTGAATTCAACGAGTTGCCTTTTCAAATCAGAGAGCTCTGCATTTCAATGGAAGTGACTTTATTCGGGGATTCCTGCTGTATTTTTCCGAATACCTATCTCGCAATCAAATTTCGGTGATCACGGTCTTGGGGTCGTAAACTAGAAGCAGCCAAAATCCAATCACCAGACAGCGTCTCATCCCATAACAGAGCCATACCTCCAGTGGATAAATTCTTCACAACGTTCCAAGAGGTAAGGTAGATGAGTCTCCTTTCATGGCTCAACGAGTTTGGTCTTCTGTTTTCTGGTTATTGCCCGGCTGTGAAGACAGGCTCCGGGGGTGATGATGGAGGTTTAGTGTAGGGGTGAAACCAAGGAGATAATGGTAGGATAGCAGCGCCCGAGACATG